GCGTGCGTGCGTGCGTGCGTGCGTGCGTGCGTGCGTGCGTGCGTGCGTGCGTGCGTGCGTGTGCCAAGCCATGTCGGGTTTCTTCACGCGAGCCGTTGCGGGATTACGGGGACCCGAGATTATGAGATCTCAATAACGGTTGAATCAATTAAGTTCCAAGTAGGCTTAATCGACAGCTTGGGTTCGGTTTCTGTAATGAAAGTGTTTTTATTTTTTTTCTACATACGAGCGGAGATTGATTTGATATGCAAAGTCCGAAAGGTGGGAACTTAAGATTAAAAAACATCCTCATCATCATCATTATTGTCGTCGCCCAGTTGCGAGGTTGGGAAATGTACTTTTACAATTTCTGACGCAAGAGGCGCTAGAGCGCTAGAATTTTTAACCTTGCAGCCTCACACGTTTCAATTGATGTATATATCGATCGATTGATGTGTGTAAATAATACAATAGATAAAATAGATCAGTGTGTGTTTAATGATTTTTTTTATTACGATTGATTTCTGCACTTAAATCTAGAAAATGTAAATAAAAGCAAGAATCAATCATATTAAAGAATCACTGAGCACTCACTAGTCTGTTCTTTCTGCTGAACGCATATATTTTTTCCAGTAACAAGTGAAGTTATCGTTATCATGTGTCTTTTTCTCGATGTATATATATCTCTTAATGTTTGCGGAGGATTCGATCAAAAGAATTACCCCGTTGCATATCCTATTCTTATGATTTTTTTACTTACTGTCATAATAGAAATGTAAACCATCTGTTGGATGAAGATTACAGATACAGATAAAATATGTTAAAAGACATTTTTTATTGCATTATATTTATATTACATTATTGCTACAATTAACTATACAGGGTGTCTCGTTTTAATTGATCACCTCAAATATCTCTTGAAGTGCATTTTAGGGAAAAATGTTTCAAAAGTTTTGGGACTTCGAGGGAGACATAAGATGATAACATTGATTTGGTCCTGAGTGACATCGTCAAGGTCAGGACAAGAAATTTTATAAATAGAACCTCTCATGTTTCATTACATATTCTTGTAGCACACCTCGAGAGCTTTCCAAAATAAAGTTATTTTTCAATAAATACCTTTCAAGTTATGAAATTTGAAAGTTACAGTACCGTCTACATTAGCATTATCTAAGGTATCCGATAGACGGACACCTCGAGCGTACCTCGAGCATAGCATGTCTCGAGAGCTTTCCAAAACACTATTTTATTAACTATCTTTCGAGTTAAAAGGTTTAAAAGTTACAATAATATTGGCATTAGCATTGGTATCCAAAGTGTTCGACCGACGGCTAAAACTTTTTGAATGTTGTTCAGGGCCATCACCTTCACAATATTTGTCAAGGTCAAGATCATTTTCGACTGGACATATGATGCAATTTTGACTCGGAGTGCACGTGTGCTTCTTTGTGACCCCGATGAAGCATTGTGCCCTTCATATGACTTTTTGAGATTAATCGAACCGCATATGCTACCATTCTTTTAAATTATTATTTTCATTTTTATCGTAAAAATTTAAATAATGAAAATACGAAGAACAACCTTCAATCGTCTTGATCTTGACAAATGTTGTCAAGGTCAAGGTGATGGCCCTGAACAACATTCAAAACGTTTTAGCCGTCGATCGAACATCTTGGGTATCAATGCTAATGCCAACAATATTGTAACTTTGAAGCCTTTTAACTCGAAAGATATTTAATGAAATAGTGTTTTGGAAAGCTCTTGAGGTATGCTATGCTCAACGTGTGCTCGAGATGTCTGTCTATCGGACACCTTGGATAATGCTAATGTCGACGGTACTGTAACTTTCAAATTTCATAACTTGAAAAGTATTTATTGAAAAATATCTTTATTTAGCGTTTTGGAAAGCTCTCGAGGTGTGCTACAAGAATATGTAATGAAAAAAGGGAATACTATTCAAAAAATTCAAAGTGACCTTGTCCTGACCTTGACGACGCCACTCAGGGTTAAATCAATGTTATTATCTTATGTCCCCCTCGGAGTCCCAAAACTTTTGTCTGAAACATTTTTCCCTAAAATGCACTGTTCAGATATTTGAGGTAATCGATTAAAATGGGACATCCTGTATACCGATTATATCATTAATTATCAATATAGATAATGTATTAATTTATATTAGTATATTGTAATAATAACATTACACACTTCAAAAACTTTATCACACAATGTATAACTTATTAAATCTTATATGTAGATAAATATTAAATAATTCAAAGTTATTTTTTCCGTAATGGCAATAATACTTTTGGCGTTATTACAAATATCTTATTTTTATATTAAATGTTAAATATTTTGAAATCCATAGTGAGATAAATTTTAAAATTAAATTAAAAGATCTATTGTTATTCGTTTTATAAAATTTAAAATTTGCGAAAGCTTAACATAAATTATTTTTTAAATTAATTTATAATAGCTAATAAAATGATGACATTGAAACGATTGACATTGTAACATTTTGATAATGGAAAAATTACAAGGACAATATCTTGCAATGTTCTTTATTTTTAGGAAGTAATCGAATTGGGAGTATTTCTACGAGCCCATCCATTACGCGTCAGAGTTTGTGGCTTATTTAATTTGGATAGCCAATTTATATGCTCGGTAATTAGTATTCTTTAATATTCTTGTTTTTATCATGTTTTTCAGATTTGTATAGATATTTATATATAATATATTTATTAATATAATATTAATATAATATATTTATATAAAGAAGAAGAAGTCTTCTATAGATATTTATATATAATATATTTATAAGAAGAAATCTTCTTCTTCTTCTTCTTCTTCTTCTTCTTCTTCTTCTTATATAATATTATTTATATAAATATTAAGATTACTATAAATACTAATACTTTCTGTTAGTTTTTACGAAAAATTTAAAATCATATCTAGACTATTTCACTATGCACAATTAATTCAATTATTATTATAGATGTGCGCTTTGCGCGCGCTATTTGATGTTTTTTATTACATTTGCTATTAATCTCAATACAAACAAGTGTCAAAATATGCAATGACAACTGCTCACACAAAGTAAGCGCAGCAAGATAACCAATTGGCATCGCGAAAAAGCGACAACAATAAACTTCGAAAAATGCGAATAATTAACTTTACATGCACTTTTTATAGATAGGAAAGGAAATGTAGTAAACAATTTTTAATTGTCCAAATATTTCAAATTTTGGGAAAATTCATGAAATTAAAATCAAAGTCATTAGATGTAAGAAACTTATAAGAAGAAATTTCCAAGTACTTCTGCTCAATTTTTGATGTTTTATGCTGTTCTATTAAATTTATAATGTAAAATTATTATATAAACTCAATTTGAGTCATTTTTAATCATTCCTATAGGTTGTTACTTCTTCTACTTAATCTGTCGTTAATTAAAAAAAAAAATGTTAATTAAATAATGTTAATTAAAAATAAATAATTTAACAAAAATTTCACAAATGTATTACATTTGACTCAAAAGTTTATATTTACTAATAATAAGTGTATACATAATATGAATGTTAAAATTTACTTTAAAATTAAGCAATTTAATTACAGAAGTAGGTGAATTAAATTGTTTTTTAATATTATGTACTAAAATATTATATACTAAAATAATACATCTTGACACAAACAAAAATTTAAAAAGTAAATATTTTTAATAAGGTTTAAAATATTAAATTTCATTTTATTTACATATAAATATAGATTTTTGAAATCACAGATGATAAAATCTGAAAATTAAAAATTAAAATAGTAGATTGACGAGGGCGTTCAAGTCAAACCGGGACTTTTAATTTTATAAGCAGAAGAGATCCTGAGTAAATCTTATTAATCATGCTGATTAGTTACAAGGGTAAATATTGATAACAACGGACCCAGCCCCAATGACCTTGACCTTCATGTATATTGTCAAGGTCATGACCCTGAGTGACTATCAAGAGATATTAGCCGTCGCTCGTTATTCGTTAAAAAGTTATTCACAAAAAAAGTAACAAAAAAAATAATCCCAAGAGGGGGGTTGGGGGGGGCGAAGCCAGTAGGTAGTATGGGCGCTGGTGTGGAGGGGGGTGCAGGGGGGAGGGGCCGAGCCCCTGCTCGGCCCCTCCTCCCGCCTATTATTTAGCTAATATCTATTGCAGAAACAGAAAATACGTGCTTTAATGCTCCTACTTATTTAGTAAGGCGAAGATTTAATAAATATTCAACTTAATATACTTTCTACCTTG